CCCCAAAACCCCAAAAACCCCAAAACCCCAAAACCCCAAAACCCCAAAACCCCAAAACCCCAAAACCCCTCTTTAGTTAAACCTGAGTGAAACTTTAAATAAATTTAAATTTTTTGTTACAAAAATGAGAAAACCTCCATTCGGAATGACAAAGTCTTCCATCAAGAGGCGTGCCTTATTAAAAACACCAAATCAAAGTTACGTAAAGTTTCAAAATAGAGGAACACCTCTTGCAAGACAAATTACTGATGAAAAATTTAAGCAGAAGTTTAATATTGGGCAAGACTTTGAGCAGAGTGCGGAAAATTTCTTTACTGACAAAAAGCCCAAGCGGACTGGAGCACTCGATACAGACTCTATTTACAACAAAAAGACTTATGCCTCGACTGATATGGACGTCACTGCTAATGACTTTATTGAGAGTAAGAGGACTAAGCCAATTCCTACACATCTAAACATCGTAATTGAAAATCCTCTGTCTAATAATGTTTATTTCCAAATGGTGATATTTTATAATTTCTTTTACTCGTTCCTGCATGCATTTCTCCTCTTCATAATCTTGTTCTACAAGTTATGGGTATTTGATGCCAACGAATACCGTGAGTACATCTCTACAGCACTAGCTATACTCTACCTGCCACTGGAGCTAACCTCCTTGTACTTCGGGTATAGAGGGAATATAAATGAGACTTTTCCTGAGCTAATCGCCTTCATGGTCTTCACTATTTTCTTCAGGTTCCCAATGCAGCTAGGGATCTTCTTCCTCAGATGGAGAGGAGACCGGGTGCTTAACTCCTTATTCCCAATGGAGTATAGTTTATTCTACGTGATCATAGTTTTCTTGTTCCTCGAATTTGTGTTTGGAATTTGGACTATAAAGAAAGTTATTAGCTCAAGGACTGCTACTTTCTACCTCAGAAATGCTAAAACTGTTGACTCCAGGTACTGCAAGAGCTTTAAGGCGAAAGATAGGCAGATTCGAAGCTCAAGAGAGATCGCCATTGGACTCAGCAAGCTCAAAGATAATACAGCTTTTGAAAATCAGTGGTTGAAGGAGCCTGAGTGGTACAGGAAAACAGAGCATAGCTTTGACCACACTGATGTTAGTGATTAAAAAGACTGAGCAGAGCATTATTGAGATAGATTCTTTGAGGCCTAATCTAAATTCATCAATTCAATTATTACCAGGCTTGAAGGGGTTTTGGGGTTTTGGGGTTTTGGGGTTTTGGGG